GTTCTATTATGATGGGAAAGAAGGGGAGAATGAATATTGGTTGCAATCATTTGCAACCAGCAGGCTCTTGGGCCTCTTGGAAAGTGACCCTGTATCGTTCTGCTTTTGCTGGGTAACCAACCACCCCAAATCTAACTGGCTTTCCACAGCAGCCTTTTATTTAGCTTATGGTTTTGCAGGTTGGCAATTTGGGCTGGGCTCAGCCGGGCAGTTCTTGTCTGCTCGGGGCTGGCTGATTTCGGCTGGGCTCGCTGGTGCACCTGCCACCTGCTGGTGGGGCAGCTGGGCTGGCTAGTTTAGAGTGGCCCCGTTTGGGACAGCTGGGATCTCTCTCCATGTGGTCTCTTGTGGTTTTCTTTCTAATGAGGGACTTACATGATTTTCTTTCATGCATTTTGGCCCAATCTCATGCTCCCAGGATTCTGTTTATCTTCTGTGGTCATCGGCTTGCCTCTGATCCCTCCCTGTTACAATGCCAGTACTGGGCCAACAATGTCATTCAGGAGTTTTGTTTGGCTGCTAGTAAGAGGGACCCAAAATAACAATGGTTTTTGTGAATTGGGGGGTTAGTTTCCTCACATGTAACCTAAAGACGAGAGGTTGGCGGTCCAAAACAGGAAAGGCAGATCCAAATTGCCGTCAGGAATTGAAACTCCTTCTTCCTTTCTGCCCTGCTTCTATCTGCAATGTCACTTCATGGTCACACCATGATTTCTGGAGCTGTAGCCATCACATCTGCTTCCAGGAAGAGAGTGGAAGGTGAGAAGGCCAGATATGTGGGCCTCTCAGCTGAGTGAGGTTTACAAAGCCTTTCTGGACGCTCCACCCAACGATGTTCATTTACATCTTATTGGCCACCCCTGATTGCAAAGAAGAGTGGGTCTCTGCCTTGCTCTTTGCCACTCCAAATAAAACCAGTGTTCTATTTTTGAGGAAGGAGATGATAGTTATGGGCAGGCAATTAGCAGCCTCAGACATGATCCACTCCTTTGGCTACCCGACTCACAGAAATAGATCCTGCACATGGGACACACTTGTCCACTCCCTGAGGACAAACGCCCAGGGTCTCAGAGTGAGACCAGGGTCTTGGAGTCAGACCAGGCCTATCCATCAGGTGTGTGTGTGTCTCCGGATGGTCTGGCATCCTACAAACAAAAAGACATGTTCTCTCTCCCTAACAAATCCACAATGATGGAGAAGGAGCAAGGAATTGTAATGATGATAATTTAGAAAAAAATTCCCTATGCAAAAGAGGAGAAAGGGAAGCACATGGAAGTCATTGGGGAGGAACGGAGATCATATGTTAACAGATCTGGAAAACCTGGTTCTACACACTGAGATGGAATCTCTTTTCTATAATCATTGTGGCCCCTAACACTGCATTTGGGAAAAGTCTTCTTCCTTTATGAGCTCTTTCAGTGCCCACATCCGAGAATGACATTTGGGATAATGCCATTCTTGGGATGATTCACAATTTCAAAGCCTGTTGATGTGAGTTTAAGAACCCAACGGATACTTTAGTGTATTAATAGTCACAAGCAGATATAATTCTCTCTTAAATTTAAAAGGCTCCTTTGTGCAAAGAACTCTTCCTATTAAAATAACAGAAATCACAACCGACTTATAATCTGCTTACCCCTGTTTTCACACCAGATGGGAAAGTAAACTCGATACTTTGTGAAGGTTTTCAGTTCATCCTTTATCTGAACTATCTTTATGATGCAGACTAGTGTCTGTTTTTCTGCTTATTGCAGGGGAAGAGGGAACATCTTCTTCTTCTTATCTTTCTGAGGTTATTTTCACCAGCAGTGAGGAGGGCTCGCAGTTCCAAGGTTAAGTCTCAAAATTCCAGTGTTAGCATTGAGAAAAAACAGCAGGGCTTAGAAGTGAAAGAGCCTTCACCACGGAAAATAAAAGAGTAGAAGAGAATTTTAATGAGTGGAATATGAAAATGCCTGTAGACAGCTACCATCTTCTACCTTTCAGATACTTTATGTACACCATCTTAACAACTCCAGGAGGCAGAGATAAAGAGATGAGGCCCAGGTCCCAGGGCTAGGAAGTGGGCAGACACAAGATTCAAACCCAGGACTGCCTAAACCAGAGCTGGAATTCTTAGCCACAGTAGTAGAATAAAATTCTTTTAAATAGAGGTTAAAGTCTAAATATAGCAGTCAATGTAAAGATTGCTAATAGAGCTTATGGTGGGGGCACGACCCACAGTTCGTTGTGTGGGTTGAGCAGATACCCCAAATTGTGTCTTCCACAAATAAACATCACAATCACAAAAATATACAGACATATTTACAGGAACACTTACTGACATAAAAATAACAAAAGACCCTAAGCAGTGTACACCCAGACACAGACATGATCGTAAATACAATTATAACGTGCCACAGTTATGCACAGGCACAGAAACACATAACCACAACCACAAATAATGATACCGAACCTCTTAATCTCAAGTTCATGTGCCTGATGCACAATAAGCCAATCATTGAGACACCAGTGCCTAGAGATGGAGAAAGCTTTATTTGAATTGGCCAGAACTGGCCAAAATGAGAAGGTGGGAGGATAGGTTCTCTCAAATCTGCCATCTTGAAAGAAGAAAGCAGGGGGTCTTTATAGAGCTATGGGGCTTGGGAGGAGGAATTTTGGAGAAACAAAGGGAAATCTGTGTTTCTTTCGCTCCAGATAAGCCCTTGGGCAATCAGACTTCTGGGTATCAACAGCAGCTGGGGCTGGTTATCTGGTAACTTTCCTGAAGGCATTCTTTTTCCTCTGCAAATGAAGCTCATAAATCCTTGTGACCCTTGAGTCACCCCTCAGGTTAAACAAGAAAACAGCAAGTTAACAAGATTAACTTCTTTTCATCTGTACCTGTGCTGGGAACAAGGTCGAAGGTTAATCATGTTCTTACTGAACATTTACAGTAACCCTCAGGTACTGGGTTTCATTAAGAACTTACTACTGATGATTTGCTTCAGGCCTTTTAAGCTCCTGGAGAAGGAGCTTGGTGTGTATGTGAGTGGGAAGTGTGGGGTTCAGAGACTACACATCCCAAGAGCCACCTGGACTGCTATGCCCTTTGTATTTATGACCAGTGTTCCCCAGACCTCACAGGATTTGTAGTTTATTTCTTTGCACAGGCCCAAGGACTGCAGAGCAAGTGGGCTGCTCAGACATCCCTTGGGAAAAAAGAGTCTGTTGCCTCTGTCCAGATTTTGGTGTCTTTCTGTGCAATGTTTATGGGTCTTTATTCTGGTTGCAAAGTGCCTGCAGCTTTCCCAGTTTGAATTTAGGTACAGGATACCAAAGGTGAGGATTATTTCGTGCTTTAAGGAATCTCGCCTTCCCAATCTAGTTGAACTCCCTTGCTCTGGACTACAAATCCCAGCATAGCTTGCGAGGACGTAGAGTCTGGACTACGTTTCCCAGAGTACTCCACGTCCCAGGGTGCAAGCGGGAGAAGGGAGGGCCAGTGAAGGCTCTGTGGGCGCTATCACTGTGGACCCGGCCCTTTGGATGCCTTTCCGGATGTGATCCAGGGGTTACCATCAGGGACTCTAGACTTCTCTTGCCTTTGAGCCTGATTTCTTGAGGTGCGTTGGGTCTCTGCCTAGGACCAACTGTGCTTTTAGGGGCGTGGCCCTGAGGACTACATTTCCCAGCGTGCTCTGAGGCTGTTGGCTGATTGCCATGACCTTTGTACCGCAAATTTTATTTTACAGCATGCCCTTGGCGGTCGCCCCGGGAGGCTGGGCAGCGAATTGTCTTGAGTGATTTCTGGGTTGGGGACTCAATTTCCCATGGTGCCCTAGTGTTTTCCACGACCTAGGGAATCCATTCATTCATTCATTCAAAAACTATTTTCGATCGCGTACTATTAGGCGCAGTTCTAGGTGCCGGGAATAAGGAGTGCACACTGACGAGACAAAAATCTCTGTCCTTCTGGGGCTTATTTCTAGTTGAAGGGAGCAGACAAAGCCAAAATAAATGAACTATATGGTATGAGGAAAGCTGATAAGGTGATGGAAAAATCAATTCTATACCTTTTAGGACTCCCCGGCTGTGGAGTCTAGTCCATTCCCTGCTAGGTCCCCTTGAGACTGTGTACTACATTTCCCAGCATGCCCTGGGGCACACCTGCAGCCTAGAGACTCCATTTCCCAGTGTTCCCCGGAGCACCCCGTCAATCAGGAGATTCTCATTTGACAAGTTGGAGCTGCGGACTTCCCAGTGTGCCTCAGGTCATACCGAGGCCAGAAGGCTGCCATTCGCAACTTTTGCTTGTAGACTCCGTTTCCCAGAGCTCCCCGCGGCCTCCCATAAGCAATTATCAGTCGCCTCTTCGGGCTGAGAACTACATTTCCCATTGCTCCCCGGAGCATCCCATTAAGCAGGAGATTTCAGTTTGACGCCTCGGATCTGCAGATTTCCCACTTTGCCTCGGGGCAGAGCGAGGCCGAAAATGTTGTCATTAGCAACTTCCGCTTATAGACTCCATTTCCCAGCGCGCCCCGGGGCGGCGTGGTGACGTCGGCGCGCCGGGCGGGGACCGGCGGATCCTCGGACGGGGCGAGGAGAGCGGCAGTTCCCGGCGGCCCCGGGTCGGGCGGGCGGCGGTGGCTGCTCTGTGGTCGGCGC